AGCTGTTATGCTTAGTGTAAAGCTGAACGTGGTTCTACTAGTAGCAAAGTAGTCTCTCTTAGTATGCATCTGGTAATGCATAAAGTGGAAAGTCTATTGCTTGAGTGGATTGATGGGTGTACAGAGCATCATGTGTATTTATTGTATCATTCCTTCTTTTGTTAACACTATATGTTAGTGTTATTTTGACTTTTGTGTGTTATTTGGTATGATTTGGTAGGTTATTTTTTGGATCTGGGAATGCTAAAAAATGTGTCCATATAAATTAATAATAATTGCTTTTCCACTTTTTGCCACTTAGGCTTACAAACGTTGTCATAGAAATACTCTGCTTCGGATAATGGGAAAACCTGTATTTGCACAAGAGAAATTCAGAACAGATTTTTATATTTTAATTGACAATGTTACTCTTCACTCTGTCCAACCTGTATCTCCAGGCAACTGGAATAAGTGCTCCAGAACATGATGAGATTAGTTATAGAAAAAGAACTCTATGTTTATAATTAAACTTGGAGGTGGGGTACATTATAGTCTATTCTGTGCATTTTCACACCCCATTACATGCATAGAGGATAATAGATGAAGTCTTTATGGAAAAGAGAAATAAGAAAAATAGTCAAGTAATGATTCTCCAAACTGTAGTAGACACCTTCATGTTTTGTTTTCTCACAACTCCTCTAAATGCCCCAAATAATATTCATTTTGATTATCTCCTTCCTAAATATCTTTCCTTTCCAATCCACAACTAGCTAGCTTTGTTAATTCTTCCACATACAGTATAGATATTAGCATGACTAAATTTCATTAAGGAGTTTATATAACTTTGTCTCAAGGAAATAGGTAGTAAAAGACATTCAATTAGTTTGCACTCCAGTTGACAATAGAAGATATAAATGAAACAACTAAAAAATAGCCCACAGTAGATCATGGTACTTTGCTTATTAAGGTGTTTATTAGATAAACAAAGGATTCAGGAGGAAAGGATCTGTTTTGTAATCAGGAAAACAAAAGCTGATTTATCAATATGAATTGAAAAGTAGGTAAAGAATTTCAGTATTCATATATTCATGCAAATAATAAAGGGAACTGATGACCACCTCCACCACCATAATCATGAGTTATATGTGTACAAAGTTAGATCAAAGTGGTAGCTAATAATATTATATTCTGCAGTTGTTCAAGGATGACAGTTGAGAAAGTTGGATGACAGAGGATAAAAATAACACTTGTTTGGGCATAAATGGATGTTTCTATTCATTGAACTATATGAACGTTCTTCATGTCACCCACACCCCCAGGAACCTAAGAAAATAATCTTGCAACATTAACAAGTGTTCAGCACCTCATCAAATTATATTTTGCTGAAATGAAAAATAACTATAGTAAATATGAGAATAAATTGAGGTAATGATAAAACAACCATAACTATTGGGTTCAATTCCATTTCCAGTTTTACCACCTAGTAAATAATGTGCATAACCTTTGTTCAAGTTTTTTTTCCACAGTTTTAAACAAAGCATTTGACAAGAGTTAGTTCATAGCAATTTAGAGGCAGATGCAGAGGCAGAAATGCTTACAGTTTGAATGTGCTCTGTTGACAAAGAAAAAATGCTTACAGTTTGAATGTGCTCTGTTGACAAAGAGACTATTTACTTTTTTTATTTAAAAGAAATGTGGAATCTTTAGCTGCCAGCTTGACAGTCAGTTACAAAAAGCAGAAGGCACCTAAACGTTTCCTCTGGAGGGTATTATCAGTATACTCCAGTATCAATAGCATGTAGAAACACATGTGCTCTGTCATACTTTGACCTTTACGCTGTAAGTCGAAAGAATCCTGAGCAAGGTCAATTTTCCCATACAGTGCGCACTTTGTGTAGATGTGGGGAAAAAAAACAAACAAACACATTTTCACAGAATTGGATTTGTGAACTTAATTGTTGTTTAAATGAAATATATTTATTTCTATGCTGCGACTTTGCAAGAAAACAAGGCCAGGAGAGGTATTTCCTCAAAGGCTAAAAGAAGGCACTACCACCATCACCAGTACTTGCCAGGGGATTTGCAAAGCATCTTGAGGCCTAAAGTTAGTATAGGAGATGAGCCAGGCTCAGGAGAAGTTAACACAGAGAAAAAGTTTGGAGTTTTCACTGCTCTCCCCCTCCCCACATTAGCCAACCAGTACAACCAAGTACTTCAGATAGTAATTCCTAGTGGTCAGGTAATGATTTATTTTTGCAATGTTCATGTTTGGGCTTGTCTATTTCCTTTATGATTGTAAGGTTTGGAATTAGAATTTAAAATCCTTGAGGGAAAAACTGTTTTTGTAATTCAACTGGGATGTCCTTGTCTTAGGGTTTCCCATTGCATTAGTCCCTTAGCCCGGTGTGATAGCCATGATAGTGCTGTGTTTTTTAGATAAAATATAGGACTAAGGACATGACTACTGGTGCTTATTTAAATTTCCTTGCTATTTTCATAAGAGTAGGGGCGTTAGACTCTTGTCTACTGGCCAAATTCTAAATTGGGAGATTACATTCTGTTTTCCTAAATTCCCCTAGCAGAAGCAGCCATACACAGTATCTTACTTTGCTTCCTGTAGTAAACTGTAGCATGATGTCATTAAATGGCATTAGTTTTCTACTCTAGAATTGTTTAACTTTTAGTGGACTGGTGAGTAAACTGGTACCTATTGTCTGATATTGTATTCAACCCAGTTTCAAACAAATTAAAAGGTAGGCTCTGACAGTTAAGGATAAAGTATAAAACAAAAACAAAACATCCTGAGAGTGTACTAGTTGCAGTGGAACGTTTTTATTTTTGAGATAAAACATAAATTTCAGTTTGTTTGTTTATATTTAGCTTGTGGAGCATTCTTTAAAACCAATCTGATTTCTCTTCTGCAACATAGACAAATAATAATTAATGCCTTTTTTTTTTACTCAAATTGTTATTTGCCTCAAACAGTGATGATGAGATTTGAGAGGATGAGATCAGATATCAGAAACCAGTTAACCTATCTCTTTTGTTTTTACATTGTATATAACCATTCTAGACAGTTGATTTTTTAAAAGGAGATTCTTAATCTTTCCTTGAAACATATTTTAGTGTTTCTCAATCTTTCCATAACAACTAAATTCTTATTTTTGTTTAATCTCCTCTTCCCTACTGTAGTTTCATGTCACCATCTTTTATCCATTGCTACTAACTTTGCTGTCATATAATGAGAAGTAGTTTGCACAATGGCATGGTTTTTAGAATAAGACATGCCCTTATTCAAAAAATGGCTCTGTCACTTTCTAGGTGTGTGACGTTGGACAATTGCTTCTAAGGTTCAATTTCCTCATCTGTAAATGAGCAACCTCAGAGGAGGGTTACTGGGAACATTATAAGAGATAATATATTATTTCGAAGGGCAATAGGGTAAGATGAGGCATGGTACTCGGCATCCAAAAAGTGCTCAATAAATAGTAGCTATTTATTGATTATGTACCAAAATAGGACTTAATTCATAAACCATTTGTGAGTGGGAAGCATACTTCCTGGCTGTCAATGTAAGTACAGTGTTGTGCACACAGTATGGCACAGAGGCTCAATATTTATTAAACTTTTTTCCCCTAAGTCGAATGAGTAGCCCTCAGCTGTTTTCAAGATACCATACATTTAGCTCAAAGGTGACTAAATCATTCAATTCTTTTTTTTTTTTTTTTTTTTTTAATCCTCACTCGAGGATATTAGAGTAGGAGGGAGAGAAGGGAGAGAAAGGGAGAGAGAAACATCGGACATGAGAGGGACACATTGCCTGGTTGACCCCAACCAGGGCTGAGGATGAATCCCAACCAGTACCTGCCCTTAGCCAGAACGGAACTGAGACTCATTGGTCCGCAGACCCATGATCTACCGCTGAGCCAAACCGGCCAGGGCTAATTCAATTCTTTGATGTCTCCAAATATACTGATACCTTATTTATCTAGATGTTTTGGCATTGTGTACAGATAATGCAAATAACATACTTTCTATTTCTATCAGATTCATTTCTTTGAATTTCAACTTTTGATTATTATCTTAGGTGCTCAGAATGGGACCAACTTAATCATACAACTCTTTATCCATCCAAGCACTCTTTGAGAAATTAAAAAAAATGAATACTAAGAACTGTCTAAAGATATACCTGAACAAAATCTTTCAACTTGTGACTCATTACACTACCTGCCCTATTTACTTGTAAGATCTGCGCTGACCAAACACATATTTCTATTACTTTGTTTCCAAGCCACACACATACTTCCATAACCCACCACTGCAGGTTTCAGAGCACAATTAACATCACTGAACCAGTGAGGTGTTGGTTAGGACTTTTTTGCTTCTACACGTTTTCAGGGGGCAAGGAGGGACCGTTGGAGAACAAGTAGTGGATATATAGATTCACTTGGGCTGGCATACTTGCCTATAAGAAAACAGTATTGCTCTTTTACCACAACCTTGGAAAACGCCTGGTGCAGGCTTAGATTTGTATTAAAGCTATAGCAGTGTGACCATTTCCCTGATGCTTTGTACATACTTTATAGGAGTGGTCTCAGGTGTGGAGCTCTGAGCACCTGCTTACTCACACTCCAGCAGTTCTGCAACCAGCGTATTTGAGGCCGGTGGCTCAGGTTCCACGTAACTCGGTTCAAGTGTCACTAACATTACGTGCAGCTCCGGTCATCGAGCTGTGCTTTGGGACTTGGATACTTACTTCGGACTTTCTTCTCCCCTGCGCCCCCGCCCCCACTCGTTTCCCTTTCCTTCTTTCCTCCCTGGCAGTGCCCACCTCCTCCCTTCGCTTCCACTCTCCGCTTTCTCCTGGTCATTTCCTTCTTTCTTGCCACTGGGCTTCCCGTCTTTTATCCTCCGCGGGACTGAGCGCTAAGGCTCCGGCTAGGAGAAGGCGCGAGGCCGGCGGGACAGGCGCGAAGGGACCCGCGAAAGCAGAGGGCGCGCGCTAGGGCGGGGGTGCGCACGGGGCCGCCGCGTGGCCGGGCCGCCTGGCCGCCAGGCCGGGAGCTGCGCGCGCGTCTCGCGAACTCCTGGCGCGCCCCCGGCGGCCGGGGCCGCAGCGTGCTCGCCCCCGCCGCCAGCTCGCCTCACTTATGGGTCGGAAGCGCTGCGTGGGGGAGACTGTTCCAAGATGGCGGCGGGTTGCTGCGGGGTGAAGAAGCAGAAACTGTCCAGTTCGCCCCCCTCTGGCTCGGGTGGCGGTGGCGGCGCCTCCTCCTCCTCCCACTGCAGCGGAGAGAGCCAGTGTCGAGCCGGGGAGCTGGGACTAGGAGGCGCCGGTACGCGGCTCAACGGGCTGGGAGGTCTCACTGGGGGAGGTAGCGGCAGCGGCTGTACCCTCTCTCCCCCCCAGGGTTGCGGCGGCGGCGGCGGCGGCGGGGGGATTTCCCTGTCGCCACCTCCGAGCTGCGGAGTGGGGACCCTACTTTCCACCCCAGCCGCCGCCACCTCTTCCTCGCCCTCCTCGACGTCCGCCGCCTCGTCCTCATCGCCCAGCTCCCGGAAGATGGTGGTGTCAGCGGAGATGTGCTGCTTTTGCTTCGATGTGCTCTACTGTCACCTGTACGGATACCAGCAGCCCCGGACCCCCCGATTCACCAACGAGCCCTAGTGAGTACCTGTCTTCCGCCGCCCTCTCCCTTGCGCTCCGGATGGGGCTCATAGTTGAGGTAAAGTACAAGGTATGAGCCTGCCTCCCGTCGGCGGCTGCTCCTGACCCCTCTCACTACCCTGGTCCACGGAGCCCTAGACCTAAGTCAGGGCACCCCGCGCTTTCTGCCCTCCAAGGCAAGCCCCCCACACTCGGAACAGGGTGCTGCTGCAAGAGGCGGCTCGTTGGCTCCCAGAGGTATTCGCTTTCTTTTTGCGGTAACTTTGAGGAGTTTTGACCCCTTCCTTCTCTCTTTCGCCACCCCGCGTCCCCACCGCTTGGGTTTTGGAAATCTGGAGTACTCAAGGTGTTGATCTCTCCTCACTTTGGTTTCCATTACCCCCGGTGAAAGTCCCGCCAGTATTCCCGCCTTGCACAAGGAGAGTTTCTATCCCATTGCAGGGTGAAAAATAGCAACTATCCAACTTCTCTTCTGTTAGTGATGGAACTTAGCGATGGAGCTTATGAGGTTCCCATATTTTCCTTCGGGTTTCCTTGTGTCCTGGAGAGGGAGGAGGTTTTTTAAAATCACATTTTCCCTTACTATCTATTTTTATCCGAACAAATCCATTAAAATGTTTCTAGTGAAGCACACCGTCAGCTCTCTCACATTTGAGCAGTGAGACCTTTTTTTTTTCATTCCACGGTCTGGGTAATAGCTCATTCAAAGAGAGCTGTCCCTATAGAGCTACTGTCAGTTTGTACATTAAGCGTGCATTCGCTCTTGTGTCGATTTCACTTTTAAGAAGTCTATGTTAGACTTGACAATTTAAGAAATGGGCAATCCCAACAGTGCGTAGGGATTTTTATGGTTTCCTTTGGTTTTGTACTTTTAGTTATTTTAAGTGTGTGGGTGAAATTGTTTAAAATAGCATGGTTACAGCTGAAAGCCAGGTTAATTCTGATCATTGTCAACTTTGATGTGTGGGAGATGGGGCATATGGTGTTTTGTTTTGTTTTGTTTTTCACGTGTAAACTGAGTGTAACCTGACTTTTTGAGTTAAACGCTAGACAGAATGTAAAGCCCAAGGAAGGGCAGAACGACAAAGAGGGTGATTGTTTTTATTATGAGTACTTAGCATCAACAAGAAAAATCACAGAGGAAAATTTGAGAGAAATTTATACTGAAAAGCATCAACCCTTTTGCTAGCTAAGACAAGTGTCCCTTGTCCCCATATCATAAATACCCGAATCGATGTTCTTTATAACTTCTTCTTTTTACTTTGCGAGATTGGGGGATTATACTACTCCTAAATAAGTACAAACACTTATGCCTAGACTAAAAGTATTAAATTAATATGTAAAGTGGAAATTGCAATAAAATGTCCTGGAAATTGTAACTTTGTATTGTTTTTTTTCTTTGGCTTTGATATTTTAAATGTATTTACTTTTGTATGACTCTTCTGTGGTCTGTACATTTTCTTTCAGACTTTGTTCATCTTTGGGCATTGGTTCATAAGAAATTGATGAAATGGCATCCAGACTGACACTGTCAAATAAATTAAATATCTTTATAAATTTCATAGTTTTTATTCTAGGAGCTTAAATCCTAAAGCCACACCTTTACTTAGCCAATTTGTTTTTTAGTTAAGAAGTAAAATTTATTCTGAAATGACTGCCATGTGTGAGTCACTTATTTGTGACTTTTCTGCCTTCTCTTGGATGTCTGTGATGTACTAGAGCCAGTCCTGGGATGATACATAGGTTGGCTCTGCAAAGTCATGGGGCTACAAAAATTCACTCCTGTTTAGTTACATGAGTTTGGCAAAGGCTGTTTTACTAGTCACGCTCCATTGCTCCAAAGCATATGAGAACACACTTTCAGGAGGTGCTGTTTTCACACATTTTAAAGTGAGTTTGGGTTAACTGAATGACTGTAACAAGAATTTTAAAAGGAAAGTGATCTTGACCAGTTCATATAGAAAATACTTTTGAAAATGGTATTTAACAGTGGCTACTTTAAATGTGTACTTTTCTAATACTGCATCCACTGGATTTCTTTTTCATGGAATTAAACATAAAATATGACACACTTTTGATTTCTGTGGATATGTTTAAATGATAGTGGAAGAATAATAACTATTATCATTTAGCAGTTCTTCAATGTGTTGCGTATTCTACAGAACAACTAATTTAGAAAAGACACTGAACATGACCAAGGGGAGAATGAAAGTAAACTGAAGTGGAAAGAGGACTTCATCTTATTTTTATTTATCTTAAAATCATTTTTGAGGTGTACTTGAAAAATTCAGGAAAATTGCTTAAAAGCAGTGTTTAATTATGAGCGTGAAATAGCTGTAATCACTTGACAGTGCCTTAGTAACCACCACACATTTTCTTTCTGTTTTACATACAGGGGGGCAAAAGTAGGTTTTCAGTTGTTAATATGGAAAATACTGTAATAGTTAATTAGTAATACAAGAATAAACTCTGTTTTTCGAGTACTCATAACTATAAACCTACTTTTGCCTCACCCCGTACTTAAAAGCATTGTGTACTTATTAGTATGGCTTTGTGCTGGGGGCCATAAGACATAAATAGACATGTTGTGTGTCCCCCCCCCCCCCCTCAGAGTTATTAGTATCCTGTCATGAACAGTCGTGTTTCAGGTCCTGTCTCTGTCCATCAGAAGACAAGCTTTCAACAGTTTGAGATTCTCATGTGTAAAAGCACACCTTTTCATCCTTTCTCAGGAACTTTGTGTCAAAAATGTCTGTAACTGGTGAAATCTGCCTTTTATAGATTTAGAAGTCCTAGATTCATCAGTTATCCTTTCACTCTGAAAGGTTATTAGAAATTTCCAGTGATCTGTTTCAGATTTTAGGAGTGGGGTGGGGGGATGCCAGTATATGAACAGGCTGTATCAATACAAATTCTTTACCATTGATGCTGTTTCTTGGAGTACCTACCTCACTGCAGAGAAGTGGCAGTAGCTAGAGCTTGGGAGGATGGTGGAAACTTAATAGAAGACAGGTAACAAACATTTGTGTAATACTAAATCCTTTGTTTCAGGTGTATAGTTGTAATAGGCACATTTGCCCACAGAAATAATGTCCAAGACATGATAAAAACATGACTTGAGGTGCATTTAATTATTCAGTCAGAGCTCTTGGATGTATATGTGGGAACCTAGTTAGATATGTTATAGGAAACCATTTGCTACTCTAAAGGGATCCACTGTGCCAGGTGTTGAGCCAGTTAGACTGCAAAGCAGTCATTCTCAATGTTGACTATACTTTGAATCAGTGGGGGATTATTAAAAATATGGATGCCTGGGTCCCAACCCCAGTGATTCTGGTTTAATTGGACTTGGATGGGGCCTGGGCATCAGGATTATTAAAAGCTCCCCAGGTGATTTTAATGTGCAGCTGAATTGGAATACTGGTTGTATTTGACTAAGCCTTTCTGCTGAGATTTGGATTAATTTGGTCAGGGGTGGTGCCTGGGAACCCGTATTTTATGAGCACCCCAGGTAATTCTGTTAAAAAGCCAGTTTGGGAAACACTTGCAGTGTGGTCTGCAGAAGACATCACCTGGGAACTTGTTGGAAATGGAGAATCTCAGGCCCCACCTCAGACCTGCTGAGTTAGAATCTGCATTTTAACAAGCTCCCTAGGTGATTCTTAGACACATTAAAGTTTGAGGAGGAGTGGTTTTCTAACATACATCATAATATCCTGTAGTGCTTGTTAAAACACATATTGCTGGGCTCCATTCCCAGAGTTTCTGATTCAGTTGGTCTGGGGTGGGGCAGTGAATTTACATTTCTAACAAGTTCCCTGATGATGATGATGCTACAGTTCTCCCTACTACACATTGAGCCCCTCTAGGTTAGAGAGTAATAAAGACCTGAATGCTACTTGAGCCACTATAAGGGAATGGTAGTTTTCACTGCCAGTTTCCAGTATTAAACTTCCTGCTTCCATGTCACTATCCTTTATCATGCTCTTTCTAATTTAGCACCAGGGAGATTGAATGCTGCCTTGATCATAAACAAGAGTCTGAGGTTCTTGGGATGGTTTGGGGAGGAGGGAGAGTTACACTTGGAAACCTGTACTATGATTTTTTTTTCCAGATGTTAAATGTGAGGGACACATTTTAGGAGTTAAAAACAGCACAAATATGGTATTTTACAGTGAGTTGTATTGGTTTAAATAAGTAAAGCCCCCTTCTGTTCCCATAAAAAAAATGCCTTGATGATTACTAAATAATATGTTTAAAAAAATTTTAAAGCTTCACTTACACTTATGCTTACTGGATTGCATTTTAAGAATTTACCCCATTGACAAAGAAATATAAAAAGACCATGCTAAAGCACTGGGATTGTTCAGTCTTATATCTTTAATGTTGTGTTGCATGTCATGTCCCATGAACTTTTAATTTTAATCCTTTTACCTGCCTCCTTTGAAGTTAATGTAATGCTACATTTTATATGGACCATAGCACATAAAAGATGCTTCACTATTAAACATCAATAAATGTGGTTTTCCATTACAATGAATAAAATATATTTCTTCTTCTTCTTTTTTTTTTTTTTTTTCAAATCTCCTGGCCATGCAGGTTTTAAGAGACTCTGATCCGGTGTTTGAATAGTTAACTCTTTCTTATCTTGGCACAGTACTCAAATTATTGTTTCTCAGTGTGCTTGGGAAGAATTACATTGTGTTAGGAAGTGAGGCAGGCACTCTGTTTCACCAGAACAGTAATAATCCTATTGCACATTAGTAAGAAAAAAAGAAAAAAGATGACTTGATAATGCAGTGATATTAAATCAGCATTTTAAACACAAGCTATTATATTTCTATTATGTCTTTTTTGATGAAAACTGACCAGAATAGCTAGAAGGTGTATCTGTCTATTGCAGATGATGCTACTGGTCATTACAGATTTCCTTATCCATGCTAGCATAATGGTCATGTCTACTTTTTCTTTAAAAAAATTGTCTGAAAATGGAGCATTT